GGGGGAATTTGTGTGTGGGCTATGGACTTTTTGATGATTATGGCTGTACCACCGCCTTTGGTGAGTCTGTCTGTGCGGTAAATGGCGTAGTTGTTTATGTGGAAGTGAATGTTGGGTTTTAGGAAGGTTTCTTGGATAAGAGCGATGTCTACATCGTTTTCCTTTAGGTATGCCTCAAATTCGTACTTTTTGGGGTATAAAGATGCTGCATTCCAGGAGACGATATGGACACCTTGGGGTTTTATGTTATGCCTTAGCATAACATTTTAAGGACTGGATGTTGGGAAATTAAAGCCGCCAGTCTGGTGACTTTGGCCTCAATTTCTTTGTCGGAAAGGAGAAGGAGTTGGATTAGTTGGGGATTGAGGTTTGCGTTAGTCGCAGGTTTTGGGGGCGCGTTTCGGGAAAAGCCAAGATCTTGGATATCGTTTTGGATGTCGACGATATCCATGTGGGAGTCCAGGCCTTTTATGATGAAAGACAGTTTCCTGTCTTCTTCCAATGTATACGTATGATATTCAAAGGAGTTTTGGGTAAGGAGTTTTGTGATGAAGCGATGTTCATCGGTGGAATTTGGTGTAAAAGAGATACCGGAGTTTCTCTTTTTGGGATTTTTAAATTTTGATGTTGTGGGTGGATAGGAGGGCCTGGATTTTGGTCCAGTCGGCCGGATTTTTGGCCGTAATTGGGACGATGGTTTTGGGTTTTGGGGGTTGAGGAGGTTGGGAGGGTGGTAGTTTGGTGTTTTGGGCTGTCGGGGTAGCTTCAGTCTGTTTAGTTTTGGCTTCTTCTGCCTGGAGGTGTTTTAGAAGGGTCTTGTTTGAAGTTTTGGGAAAGTTCCATGGGGCAGTCGGTTTTAGAGGGGGAAGTTACAGTCGACTTCCATGGATTAGGAAGTTTGGGGTGGTTTGGGGTTGTTTTTCGGGGGTTCGGGTGAAGCCCGAGGGAGAGTTTGGGTTGGATTTTGTTGCGTGCTTTCTAAGGTAGAAAGACGCTCAGACAGTTTATTTACGTGGTGGTTTAGTTTGGTGATTGTCGCTAGGGCTTTTTTGAGTTGTGCTTGAAGAGCGTCTCGTTCCTTGCGGATTGTGTTGTGGGAATTTATGGAAAAGTACGGGGAGGATTTCAGGGATGTTTTGCCAGAGGCGCTTACCGTCTTCCGGTTTTTGGGCGAGTCCATCCTGGATCACTTGGGGCTTTCCGGAGTCCTAACAAAAAAGGGGACCTGCACGCCGCTCTTAGGGAGCCTTGTGCTCGAATTTTCTTTTTGAAATTAATAAATTTCTACGGGGCACAAATACTGGATCGTGTTCGCTGAACTGCTTTTCGAATTTGAGTGGTTGTTGCAAACTGTGTTCACTGACGTGTTGACTGCGTGTGTTCTGTGTTCGGAGCTAAACCGGCGTCCAAGGCAGGGCCTACCTAAGCCTTACTGACGAGCTTCAGTAGAAACTACTGCTTGAACCGCACACCGTGACATGATGTTTACCGCAGACATAGCCATTTAAGGCTTTTTGTCTTTAATGGTAGCCTGCAAGAGCCTTGGTTGGTCTATCGCTCGTGTTAAGATTTAAGGAATTACTAATATAGCTATTAAAAGATAGGGCTTTATGGCAGCACCCATTAGGTTTTACAGGCACAGCATTTAGGTTTGCGTTMGTCGCAGGTTTTGGGGGCGGAGTTTACTTTGGGTGAAGCTTGTTTAGTTGGCTGTGTGGGAGGAGTTTGTGGCTGTGATTTTTTGGTGGGATGGGCTTGGGTCTTTTGGGCATACGAAATACCTGTTTCAACTTTTTTGTTAAAAAGGGCTAATTTTCCTTTTGCCTCTGTTTGTTGGGAAAAATTGGGATTTTTGAGGCAAGGAAAATAGCTGGCYGGATGTGGGCCGCCGCAATTGCAGCATTTTGCAGGAAGGTCACGAGATTTCGTGCACTCCCTGTAGAAATGCGGCTCAGCGGAGCTTCAGTAGGTCATTTAAACATAATTTATTTCAGTTAAGTATACATGAACTTCTTACTGCTACTTACTCTACGGCTCCTTAATGCTAACATCGCTAGAGTGTCTAACACTCTGTGTGTCTTAAGATATCTCTAACAGCCTCTCTTGCTTCCTATACTAACTTAAAGTTAGCCCATGGTCCTCGATGTGGTGCAGGAACTGGTCATCGCATGGGGTCCACGTCTTCTTCTTAGACTGT